TGAAATTTGATTATGATCTAGTTTTGAGAGACGTTTCTTCAAAAGAAAGTTTTGGAAAACACGACTTATTCCGATTTTTGACGTTTTAATGACGTTTTAAAACGTCACCCGTCCCCAAAGGGTTAAGGGAAACACGACGATGTTATGAGGAACAATTGGTCTCACCATTAGGAAGAGATCGAGAAACTACATCGGATTCTGTTGTGTTCGATTAAAAGTCTGTCAAGCACCCGTCAATTATTTTTTTGAATAAAAGTTTTAAACATTAGTCAAATTTATATTCCGATCGGGATTAGGAAGTTTAAGCTATTATTGCTTATATTTTTGCTTTATTTTTGATATCCCGATCGGAATATAGCTTTTTTTGATATTCCAATTGGCAGATCGATTTGAAAAACTCAGTTTTTAGGCTTTCGTGTAACTTATTGATACGTGTTGTTTATTACAGAAACACTAACATGCAACAAATTGCATGAATGGACAATTGTGGTTATGTTGTATCAAATAGAAATTTAATCGATGTAAAATACATCTGTTCGTTATGTGATGGACTGATAGAGCATGCGAAGCGTGTTTGATGAACACCATCCGGTAAATATCCTTCATTTTTCGCCGACTTACAGTGAATTTTTGCGGGCTACCCAAGTCGTTTGGAAGTGGAAGTAATCATACATGTACAAACAGTGACAAAGCAGAAATGTTATCAGAGTTTTTTGTCAGTTGTTATCATTCATCTGCTAATGCCGTATCTACTAACATTGTTTCTACTAATTCGTAATCTAGTCCTTGTTTAGATAAAGTTTCATTTTCAGTTAGTGATGTGTGCAATATGATTAATCAATTAAAAAACAAAAATTCTGTAGGAATTGATGGTATTAACATAAAATTTATGAAACTGTGTTCTAATGTTTTATCATCACAACTCTACCATTTATTTCAACTGTCTATTCAGCAAGGAATGTTTCCTAGTATCTGGAAGAAGGCCAACCATTAGACCTATACACAAAAAAGGATCACGTATTATGTGTGAGAATTATCGACCGATTTCACTGTTATCGAACATTAGTAATTTTAAATGTTAGTATACTAACGTTTAAAATACTTCAAAATAATAAATAAGGGATGCAGTGCATAAGAAACCATTTTGACCCACTCTTCACCTATAGCTCTGTGCAGCTGTAACAATTTATTATTTGATAATAACGGTGCTGTTCTATCGACGACTAGACGAACCAGTAAACGGTAAAACCGTTGGTGTTGCTTGAAATAATTAATGCCTAGGACATAATGATACGCGATGAAAAGAACCATTGCACTTTGTAATCCATTTTTGCATTCCATATCATACAGTTGAGTTGCATGAAAATAAAACTTAATATACATTGTTAACGATTCCATTCGAAAATTGGCATTCCATAAAATGCCTTCAACTTTGGCTCGTCCTCGGCGTCCTTCAAAGAAATACAAAAAATAATGACTAACAGAAACAAGAGTCATGCATAAACAGGTACACTGAGCAAAATACTTTTTTCATTGAGATGCGAGAAAGTTATGCTGACATATACAAATCTGTTTTTTTGATTGCTAAACGAAACGAACATGGTTTTAATTTTATTTCGTTTCTTTCCAGTTACCCCGTACCGATCGACCAAGTTGATTACTGGAATGAGTTGTTAGTTTTTCTAACACTTCCCTCATTGCATACACCAGTGTTTGTTCTGAATTTTTTACAATGCCAGTAAAATCATGCGCGATCTAAACAGACACTGTATAATGTTTAGTAGCCCTCTGGAGAACGCTTACTGCGACTGAAATTAATCATCTCAATAACTCACCGTTGTTTTATATGTTAATTCAGGGACCAGCATTAAAACCTATTTAATATTTTTCGTTTTATGAACACTTATGATCAAATTTCGTCGATGATTAAACGTTGCTTTTAGCTGTTGCTCAACTTTTAGCTAATTTGGCTTTCTCTTCCCCTGTTCATTATTTAACGATTTTGCAACACGCGAATAATCTATAACGTAGCAATAATATTTTATAGTTTGTGAACTTAGGTACACAGCTAATTGTTACCGGCATCGTTCACCGATGGTGAAGCGGATGACTTTGTTTCCATTGGTAGATTCTTTTCGAATTTTTTGCTTTTGTAATAAGACGCTATTAAAAAGAAAGTAAACAGTGTTTTAGGTTATATTTACCCGCATCTTACCCAAGATGTACGTGTTTGTTTTGATTCTAATTTTGGATATGTGGCTACTAATTTCATTCCAGTCGTCTGATAGTCATTATTATGACGCTGCTGGGGATGATTAATAGACAGGTGATGATGCGTCTCTCGAATAAACTGATGAAATAAAGTATCTGTTGGTAGGCATGGTGTATTTAAATCTGAAACGGAACGATATTATATAGATATTATGAAGCAGATAAAACCGATAAAGAGTGTACCGGCTAAAGAAGACAATACGGAAAGTGAATATTCTGCTATTGTCAAAATACCTCGTCTCATCGATGATCCCTTCTAAAGTGGAAGAAATAAAATAACTATACCCCTGGAAAAAATAAGTTTTTCTCGGTATTTTGAGAATATTGTTACCAAAAGAACGTATTTTTTTTAAAGTAACGACATATTCTGAAAAGCCCGTGAAATTTTACATCATCCTGTATATCTTTATTTTTGTTTGGATCGCTGTGTAAAAAAATTATTCCAATGAAGTGAACACACTCAGCACCTCATTTCCACACACTTAATACAATCATTGTTATCTCGTATAGTTTTTCAAGAGTTTTTCAGTATTACAAATAGACAGCCTGAATGTCTACTTCCAGAATGTGTGTTGCTTTTGGTTACAGAAGTGGTTTTTCGGAAATTTTGAGCGAGTTTTCCAAGAGCCTCGAAAAACCGTGCCTTCAAATAACAGCTTTTTCCTGGATACTTATGCGATTAAAAGTTTTCTGAACACACAGAGCTGTAGAGCAAACGTTTCTGATGAAAATAAGATCTCGCACGACTCTGTATGACCTTGCATCAAAAGTTGCAGGCATTTGCCTAGAAGTCCTAAAATCGAGTATTTTATACAGTGTTTTCTCTATATAAGTCCGAAGATTTTTAATAGCGATTTGTCGTAGAGAGTTCATTCCTTTTTTGTTTAAAAGAGGAAAAGAAACTACATCGACTGACTGGAGTTGAGTTTTGAACTAGGTCTTAGTTTTTTGCCAAACCGAGGAGTTTTGGAAAATCCAGAAGGAGTTTTCGGGTTTCGAAGATAGTTGGTTGCCTGGAAAACAATAAAGGCTTAATTGACAAATCGGGGCTGGTCAGCCCATGTAGTTAGGTGTCTAGTTTAAAATAAAACAAACCCGAACTCTCCAGCTTGAAGTAAAACGGCAAAGTTTTTTCTTCACTACATTTTTGCCTTATGTGCATCTTATAATAAAAAATCTTGGAACGCACTTCAGGGTCCTTTTTAGACCTTGATCTCTAGAAAACTCCTAAACCGTAAGATTTGGAGACAAAGAATTTTTTCATTCCCGTAACTGATTGTGTCTAACATTTATGGAAACTTTCGTCAAGATCGAATGTACGGTGTCGGAGATAATGCCTGATAGGGGGGGGGGAGCGTAAAAGATATCTTAGAATATTAAATACTCTTTTGGCACTTTAGTTTGCGGGTAAACGGCACACTACAAAATCAAATGATTCAGTCGCTGCAGGGTAACCTAATTTGGTTTTACATATCTTTATCTACAGAGCCAAAATTCGTTTTGAATTCCAAATGCCATACTCTTTTGCTTTTCTAAAATACTGGTTTGTTTTAAAGAGTAGCTCTTATCATTTACCGAGTGCGCTCTGTTGTGAAATAGATATAACGTTAAATTAGATTATACGCACGAAAGCAAAATACAAGAGTGTACGATAAAAAAATCCACTTTCTCTGTCTACACGAAAACTTAATAAAATATCTACTTCAGAAACAGCAAATATAAAGAAAGATTATAAAAACCATGATATAAAAATATTAATCCGTAACCACCCCCCGCATGCCTGTAGTAAACGCGGAAATACGCTTCCGTAACGCTGTTTAATTATTTTAATCATTCGTTATTCATTAGTAAGTATTTACTTCTTTTTCTATTACATATTGAATCTACAATAACAGACTAATTTTATCAGAAAATTTAGAATTAGAAATTTAGAAACAACTGCACGTGTCATCTCATACTTTTCTTTCTTTCCTTCTCTCATATAACTTCTTTTCAAATGTCCTTTGTTTTTGCTGCTAAGGTACAGTGACGTCATAATTTTTCTCTTCTCCTCTGATTTTTTGTTTTTCGAGAATATTCTCATTCTCTCTTGAGTATATATATATACTCCCGTTCTCACTGACGAATTTACGTTGTTCTTGAATTTGCAAAGGATATCATTTCTCTTTCGAACTTGTACTCTTTATTTCTTCATACTACATGGTTTCAATGGCGAAGGCTCTCTGCTCCGGCAGTGAACGAATAAGTCGTGGAAGACCTCCTTCTGAACAGAAGTCTGAACTAGCATCACCAAAAACTGTCCTTAGTTTTGACAATCAAATCATTTGCCTGTGGCAGCAAAAAGAAGATGTGCTTATTGCAGCAGCAAAGAAGCAGATTTACGATCCATTATCGAGGGCTTAACTTGCAAATTGCCATTTTGTTTAAGAAATAAAAAAATTGGTTTTTTGATTATCATAAGGTTTTTATGTGACCATTTTGAGTTAAAATAAAATAAAAAGGTTGAAAAATGTGTTTGCGATTAAAAAAAATTCCGTCCTCAAAGGGTTAATTAAGATGTACGTTTAGGTTAGCCGTCTTGCCATTCAATCCGAATAACAATAATTATCGGTAAAGATAAACTGCACTGTCTGTGAGTTTCGAGTGTATCAAGAGAATAAATCTACACCTCTAGAATTCTAGATGCCTGTTGCACCAGGAGCTTTCTCCGTAGTTATATTGGATGCAAGTTTTCAACGAAGATTGTCGGGTTAACTTTGTTGAGTATAATGGCAGTCAGAGGTTCAATCCGAATTGAGATGTCGGAGCGGTACTAATTCACATAAAAGAAATGTAGGTACAAGAAGACAGGATCCGGCGGAGGATCTGAATCAAAAATTTCTGTGGTCCTTCAGTTGATCATCCATTGCAGCCTCCTTCATCTATTCGTAGTCGCCACTCGAAGTTTGAGAAGATCGGAGTCTTATCACTGATGTTTGCATGTGATTGTGCAAGGAACATGTGCGTACTGTGAATACATTATGTCTTGCTGTTGCCGATAGCAGAAGAAGAAACAGCAAAAAAAGGTGAGTTACTATTGTGTCGTTATGAAACATGGAATATAACGCTCGAACATTTGATCCAAAATGACTGTTCACGAAGAGATTAAAGACTCAGCAGAACAGGAGGGACGTGAACACACAATTCTTCTGGAAATTGTCACTCAGAATCAATCACTAGATGCGCTTATTGAATTCAAATTTAATTCAAATAATAAAAAACGGACCATATAAATTTTGAATTCAAATCTGCTGGCATCTGCTGGCTTCTTTCGACCATTCAGAATTTTCTCACTGGATGACGAATTATAATGATATTCTCGTCGTCGTGACCAGAAAAAATACCCATGATAATCTCATCGAAGATAATGCTACGCAAGCAATGACACGGCTAAAAGACTGTAAGGGATGTAATCAATTGAAACCTATTTTGAACATGCTCATTGGACCATGACACGTCAAAAAACTTTTCCTACAATGAAACGTCGACAATACTATGAAAAAATAAGCGTCAATTAATAAACTCTCAAATCCGTTCTTTACATACCCTTTCGAGGGTATGTAGAGTATGTAATCAGTCAAAAGCGTTCATCGAAGGGTTTATGAAACGAATAAACCCAAAAAAGAGTATTTCAGCATGTAAAGAACGCATTTTGAGGATTTAATAATCGACACTTATTTTTTAAGGTGAATATGCGACATCTATAAATTTGATCAGTCGATCTTCTGTGCAATCTTCTGTGAAATTTGCTCTTGCGGTTGAAGTTTATAGAATTTAAGACAATATCATCGATGTACTAGAGCCATGGGTCTTATCGGTAAAGACGAACTTCGTTTCTTAACATAAGTCAAGATTGACATATTGCGTATTTCTTTTCTTGGGTGGAAAATCGATCAAACAGTTTTTTTTCGTCTGGTTCAGCAGCCGTGCAGAAGGGTTTGTTCCCAGATTTACTTGATTTTTAAATTGAATGTCATTCTGAGAACTGTCAATCTGCAGTTGTGGTCCAGAAGAAATAAAAGCGGAGACCCTCTTTAGTCACTATGACAGTAATCAGTATTTTAGTTCAATTCGCTCTAGTGGAGAAAGAAGACTTCTATAGATGGTTGATGGATAATCAAACGTCGTGTTCGCTTAAACGACTTCGTTCTACACTCTTTGTTCGAAATGCCGAAGTAACAAGACATTTCCTTCGCACGTAAAGTAAAGAGTTATTTTTAGAGAATCGGTTTGAACAACATGGCACAAACTTCGCCAGTAGATGATCATAGTTCTTCTATGATTGAGCAACCTGTAGGAGATATTGTCTCCGATTGTACATCTCGTGCTCGTCCCGACGCCAACCCAGAGCACCATCGTCTTCAGGGTCGATATTGTCGATTGGAATTACTCAATTCCAATACCAGTTCTACCACCATCAAACAGCTCTATGACGCATTTAAACCAATGGAACAAACTCATTTCACTTATTTGGCATATGGACCGTTCGAGACAGTCGATCAATTCGTCGAATTCATTCGCAAGAAGGAACTGCCTAGTAGTAACACTATATTGTATAGTATCATAGTGAATGATCGAGCAGTTGGCTTTCTTAGTTATTTGAGAATCAAAGAACATCAAGCTACAATCGAGATTGGACATGTGAACTTCAGCCAACAGCTGGTGCATACTCGACAAGGGACTGAAGCAATTTATTTGTTATTACAACATGCCTTCGATACTCTCGGCTACAGACGAGTAGAATGGCAATGTTATTCTCTGAACGCCAATTCACGTAAAGCAGCATTAAGATTAGGTTTTCAATATGAAGGTACATGGTTGAAAGCATGGATCTGTAAAGGTCGATCAAGAGACAATGTGTGGCATAGTATTGTGGACGATGAATGGCCGCTAGTGAAACAGGAATTCGAACGATGGCTGAATGAAGACAATTTCGATGCCAATGGACAACAATTGACGAGACTGAATGCGGCACAAGTCAATCCGCGTAGAAATAAATTATCGGCATAGTCAACTGCTTGAGCAATACATGCGTGAGCAGCATTCATTCACTTGATGATTGTCAATTTTGTTTTTTTTCATTTAATTGATTATGTGTGGATTATGGATTTAAATAAACCATAAAATAATGCATTTGAAGTGTCAGCTGAGGAGATGAAGAAGCGACCATTCAGTTCAATGTTACAGATATTACTACCGGCTATCTAGAAAGCGTAGAATCCAACAGAATAGAACACCCTAGCATCGCAAAAAAGTATCAGTTGTTGTATATCTTTATTGATTCTGATAAAGAAAGGTCGGCGGTCAAAGACCATTATGGATCTAACAATAATAAAGATGTTGTCCGTAAGTGCTCACAGAAAGAATCAGGATCAAAAATTGAGTCGAATGATGTGTATTTCAAAACTTTTAGCTGATTTTCATTTTTTGGTGAAAATCTCGATCGTTTTTCAACACGAAAATACGATGAAAATCAGCTAAAAGTTTCGAAATACACATCATTCGACTCAATTTTGATCCTGATTCCGGATATGATGTTTTTATTGCTTAATACTTGAGTTCTGATAAAGAAAGCTGAGAATTACGGGCACAGTTGAGAATTTTTCGCATCTTATTCAGAAAAAATGAATTTTCTCAGCAATGGAAAGGAATTTTAAAAAAAGCTCTCCACACTTTTAAAGCTTACCATTTGGGCTATCTAACAGTATGTGAATGGGGGACCTATCCCTTAACTCAAAAACCTAGATAGGTTTGCAAGCTGAGAGTATCGACCGCTGAGCTTAGCCAGTTCTGAGCTCAGTCGAAATTTCAGTTTTGACCAAACGTTATTGAAAGAGACCTTTCTAGAATCAGTTTTCAACGTAGAATTTGAAAATATTAATGAGAATAAGATAAAAACGTAAAGGGAAAAAATTGTGAACCATTGTCTGAAAAAGAATAGTTTTTAGCTTGTCGACCTCGTCTCAGTATTTCGCGATTTTCTCCACGAAGAAAAGGATTATTGAAGTTCGAAATGTGTTATTCGGAATCAGCGTCCAAAGATGAACCAGAATATGTATTAAAATCGAAAAAATAAAATTCACTTGAATTTTGATCTAGCTGAACCTTACAAATATCCTAGTATGTTCTTATTCCCATTCCCGAGTCACTCGATATGTGTTTTATTTTTCTTTGTTGTTTCATTATTCTTCCCTACATTGTTGAAACTTTGTTCTTTTCTCTTCGTCATTCTGAGTCACTATACTAGTGTATTATTTTTTCTTGTTTCTGTTTCATATTTCTCTTCGTCGAAATTCTGTTCTTTGCTCTTTGTCTTCAGATTGTGTACACATTCTGTTCTTTCTATCCTATATAAGACGCATTATTCTGTACCACATTCCTTTTTTTTGTTATTCTGCAATTCAGACATATTTTTATAACATTACTATGACCGTACGTGTCGTGTCGTACAATCTTTTAGTGCCCATCTATGCTAATCGACCAGAACATTACTTCAAATGCCAACCTGAATTTCTTCAAACTGATCATCGATGGAACCTGATTCAATCTCAGTTAGAACAAGAGATTGTCCATCATGAAAACACGGTTATCTGTTTACAGGAACTCTCTCTTCCTCTGTTATCTAAACTCGAATTATTTTTCCGTCGATTGAATTACACTTTCTTTCATAATCTTTATGGTGGACGACACAATGATTATATGGGTGTAGGTATGACAATTCCAGTTTCGATGCAACTCAATTCCATTTCTATTATCAAAATTGGGGATCATATACGATCGATCAGTAAATCCCGTAGAAAAAAGACGAATCTTTTAACGTGGGGCTGGGATCTGTGTCAGTTTATCATGAGCAAGTTCAGACAAGTCGCATCTGATCCATGGGAAACTGCTATGGCTAGAGGCAATACCCTCATTTGTTTACATGTCCTGATCGATGGTAAACCACTATATATCGGTACATATCACATGCCTTGTCTCTACAAAGAACCCGACGTCATGGCAATCCATTCTTCTGTGGTGAAAGATTTGATGTTTCAACTGACAGCTGGACAAGATTTTATTTTGGCAGGGGATTTCAATATCAAACCGTGGGATATTTGTTACCAAGCCTTAATAGAGAAAGATTATGCTGGTTGTAACCTTCCGAGATCCAGCACTTTTGAAATCTCTTATCGACGCAATGCTGAACAAGTACTAAAGAGCGCCTATCGAGAGAAGAATGGAACGGAACCTGTTTATACAGATTTTTCTGATACACCAGGCTCACCGAATTTTTGTGCTACATTGGATTACATCTTTTTTTCTGGTTGTCTTACGGTAGAAAAAGTGTTGGAATTACCAGATCATCCGACTGGTGAATCGTATCCTGACGAGACACATCCTTCGGATCATTTGATGATTGCAGCAACATTCCGATTGTTGTAAATTTAAGAAATAGCTTGTGTTTTTTCTAACATTATCAGCAAAATAAATTCATATTTATGTCCGAATTTTATACACATCAGCAAGGGCAACTTTAGATCACGCAAGCAAAATAGGTGTTTTCAGAACGACTAATAATACAGGTATCACTACAAACGACTTAATCTGAACCAAGTTTATTCGACCGAACGGACGAGGGAAGTACCCCAGCTGATAAATCGCTTTTTCAACGAAACCGAGTGGACTATAGGTAATCGACGATGCTGATTCCGAATATCACCATGAATGCTGCTGCTAGGCCTTCAAAGACCGGTCTTCTGGAAAACCAGTTTTCGAGAAAC